TCTCTCTCTCTCTCTCTCTCTATCACCTGTAGAGGAGTGTTTTCAAAACACTCTCGGTTCATAACTAAAACCTCATTGGCTATCTGTAGTTGTCTTCGGCGCACGCGATCATTATAAATTACATTTATTGAGATTTGATTTTCGATAAACTTTAACTTCACTTTTGCTAGGGGATCACGCTACATATGAGAAAAATGCCTTTTGAATCGAAACAAAAGACCAACTAGTCATGAGTTTCCTTGAAACGTTTCGTTAAACTCCACATGAATCGAGCATAACTTCATAGATTCATTCCTCATGACATTGAATTTTTACAGATAATATAGTTTAAACATAAAAAGTCAACGGATAAAGCATATTTCCTAAAGACAACGGAATATTGTCTGACTAGTTCCAAGTCGTTCTTATGCATTTTCAGTCGTACGAGTTATCAGTTTAGTTCTTCCTATATTGGACATATTGATCATGTCTTCCAGAGATACTCTTGATCACCATATCATAGCATCCGCGCTGGCAGATCGTAATCTTACGTGTCCTATTGGTGTACAGAACAAGGGTTATTTACAACCGCATACCAGACTTTACAGCGCGATGATCTCCGAGGCATCGATTGAACAATTTCTTCAATCTTTTCATTTTTATCTTGACTCGAGGACATACTCTGGAATGTTCGGTTAGATTAGTGATCTATGGTTGGGATTAGAAGCAAGTTCTTTCATTCCCCGCATACTGATGTTTTTCTTTCTTTCTTTCTTTCTTTCTTTCTTTCACCCACCCACCCATCTACCCGTTCGAATTCATTCGTTATTCGTATATTCTTTTTTTGTATTCAAAATCACAATTATCCTTCCTTCTTTTCTTACTTCTTTTACATTCATTTTTTCCCGTTTCCTTTCCTCACCTTTTTCATTTTTCAATCCTTACATGTCTCACCCATCTTTCAGCATCTTTTTACTAGCATTTTCTCGTGACGCCCTATTTTATATTTTCTTTTCTTTTTTCTTATTGCCCATCATCATCTTCTCAGTTTTTTTCAATTTCCTTCAATGCGACATGATCTTGAAATTCCCCCTACATTTTTTCTTTTTATTCGCTCTTTCTTAACTATCTTATCTAATATTTTGATACCAATATTTCTTCACTTCATGATAATCTAAATGCAAACAGCGAATTCAATGCTTCCAGAACTCTCTTTGGCAAAAAGATATACACCCCTTGTCTAATGTGGTTAGCGAACACTCATTTGTATTTTGTCGAAAACCACTTCCAACCACTAAACAATAAAAAGAAAACATCAACAGACAAGTGTCAAACGATGGAAGACTATAATTAGCTGGATAACTAAGTGATATTATACTAAGTGGTATGTCTTGCTTTGTGAAACCGAGGATTATATGAAAAGTCTCCATGTTGTTGCCTCTGGATTATAACGAATTATTCTCCAAGAGGAAAAAATAGTAACCCTTTCAGCCGCCTCTTCCATCCTTCTGTTGACTTCTTCCTGTAACATCCACGTCTTGCAAGCAAGTTCTAATCCATGCTGTGCGTACTTGATACCTTTCCTGTCTTGCAAATCCATCACTAACTCACTCAACCACAAATATCTTTTTGTATATATGTCTTCACCTCGAACATTTCAAGGGTATTCCTTCCGTTTCGCTAGCTAAACTAAACCGCTATCTTCCTCAGGAGTGTTTATAGTTCCAACTTGTCTAGCAGGGTGCCGAGCAAGGTTTTAACTTACTAGTGTGGAATCAATAGCTCGTTCTTTGCGTTGCGCTTGAGGTCATGCATCAAAAAACAATAAGACACTTTGTGTTTTGAAATGTTGATCTTTTGACACTTTAGCTTTTAAGAGAACTAATATTTTCTCTGTTTCGCTCTAAATTTCAAGCCATCTATCACAACAGGAGCTCATACAGGCTTTTTCTGTTACCCTTTTCGTCAGTGTTCCAAAACTAGAATTAGATTTTTAATTGCTACGATATGACAAATGCTTTCGCCGCCAGAACTCGCGCCCTATTCTTAACTAGTTTCCCTCAAGTCTCAACTTTTAGTAATACTGTCTTAGTCTTTAGACGATAAACAAAATAGGACCTTATTTCTTCTTTGTTTCAGCAGCAAAACGTAACTCTTAGATTTAAAGGATCAAGGTATTTAGTGAAATGTCGACACTGAATGTAATTCTTACCGTAATCAGACGTACAAAACTTGTCCTGTGGATGGTCATTTCCAGGAACACATCGACAAGAGAGGGAAAACCCTTCGTTGATCAAAAGACAGAATATAACTAGAACAGATATGCTCTTCATGTTGTRCGCTCGCTTAATCTGACGGAATGATCTGTAGAACGGAATGAGGTTCGACTTTAAGGCTGCTCTGGAGAACTGCGTGACTGTCACGCGATTACACTTGTGGTTAACGTGATATCACGGACACGGAGACGGCGATATGAACTGAGTACAAACAAATGCACTAAGAGCATAAAGGAAATTTTGCCTGTGGGAAACCACATTTTTGAACATTATCAACGGAAGCCAATGTATATTTTGGCGGAAAACCGCGCTCAAACTAACACAGGGGTGATTGAAACAGCAGGTGATTTGCGCGACAAAAAACTCCGGCAACATTAAAACCCGGCAGTGTCTTTCTCCAACACGCGAAATACGCGGGACAAACTGGAGTGCGTTACGCAAGCAGGAAGCAAATTGCTGGTTTATTTAAACACTTGGATTTGTCAGCATTTCGATTTTGCCCTTGCAAATCACCTCTTGAAAACCTTTCATCGTAGACTTAACAAGCAATAATGACGTCTTTTTCAAGACCTGAAATTTGTACATTGTATATTAATATTACGTCTTGAAAGTTGTGATACAAGTCCATTAAGAGTTGCGCCTRACGGATCTTTGAATTCAATACCTATTTGTTCTACTTCAGTTTTTTTTATGCGTTTCTGTTTTTCGTGATTCTATGCTATGATTATCCTCGTAATCATTAAATCGCAATCATGAGGTGTCCTCCGGCACAAATTCACTATTTCAACCTCGGCTTTTGGCGCAAAGCCACGTCCTCCGCATTTCCAGACGTCAAATATTTTGGAGTTCCAAGGTGTACGCGAAAAAATTTCACCTCTGGTACTCAAAAGTTGATATTTTCTTTATCGTTTTGATGAACTTGTTGCTTGTGACACTCAATATTCAGGGAAGGTGCGTTTTAATATACATCAGTATTGACATTCCGTACTAGGTATTGATTACTTCAATGGTGATGAGCGATGATCTCTCTGTCATAAATTAGGTGTCTGGACGAAGTCTCGTGGATATTCAAGCAGCCTTAAAAATGAGGAACAGCTGAAAATTTAAAACTGCCGAGCGTTTGATCCGCGCCCGGCAGTGTTCTCAAAATTTGCCAAGTGCTACGAGTAGAGTTGTTAGTATTTCTGTGCCGAGGAAAGACCCCTCAAATTGGAATAAATTAAGCAGAGGAGAATCGCTTGAAGTTTCTTTGCAAAAGTTAAATACTTTAAATCGATTGGAATTGTTTTTAGTTGAGAAATCTTCGAAAATTAAGCTAAGCTCAGTCTAATAAACCTCAGTCCCAATATTTTTGGCAAACTGCGCTAGAGCGCATTCAGTTTTCGTTTATTTAACATGCAAGCTCATGCAGCAACTCGCCTAACATACATCAACTTGTCTAAAATGTAGCAACTTGTTTCTTATTTGCAGCATTCGTGTAACATGGAGCAACTCGTTTAACTTGCTGGGTGTCCCTTATTGGCAATCGCAGGTTGTGCTCGGCAACAGCAACGGCACTTCGTTGCGCTTCTTTCAATATGTTAGTAACTGAGGAAGTTCCGACTACGATGAAGCAAAGCCCTCAGGCCTCGTGTCATGCACCGGAAAAGTAATGGCATTCCGATGTAAAAAAGGTTCACCACTCTTGACCTTTATTAACGAAAGTCAAGAGGAAATCGTTGTGTATTCAGCAATAAACGTAAAAAAGAACTAAAACGTGGGTAAATGTTAGGTGTGGAATTGTAGGAAGACGTTTGACTGATCGAGGTGAATGGAATGAACGTACTGCCTTGTGATGTTAAGGAATTCCCATCCAAATATATATAGTTACGTTTGCATGTTTTTAATCCCCGCCCTTTAATGTTCAATTAATATGTTTATGTTTTGAATAGGTATTGCGTGTTAATCTTTCACCACTAGTCACTCCAAATTATTCTTAATTAGATTACTATTGCGTAAACAAATGTAAATGTGTCTGGTGTATGTCCGATCATGAGGAGGTTTTCATATTCCCGTTAAAACGTTCCCGGGACTTCAAACGCCAGGGAGGTATAGGGTAATGTTTAATTCATGAGCCACCGACTTCTTTGCCTTTTTAAAACCTCATTTTTCTGGCTATCCATCAGAGAAAAGATTTATGCCAGAGATAGGATTCAACTCCAAAACCACCCACCAAGAAAAACGACTATCGCTACTTAATGGTTGAATTGTTGATGCTTTTTGGCAATAAGAACCATCTAGAGAGTCTAGAGAGTCGTTCAGTGGTTTAAGATYGTTTGACTAATGTATTAAGCCTGAAGACTCGGAAAAGATCATTTCCCCCAAAAAATAGCAAGATAAAAATCCGACTTTATATTAGAGTTATAGTTTTTGTCTAAAACAGTTGCTAGAAAGTTCTGTGATCAAAAGATAGTACTTGGGATACCGTAGTGCATGACTACAGCTATTAGATTTTCAAAGGTAATGTAAGTAAATGACCGAAGGCTAGTGACAGCGAGGTGATCAGTTTTTTTAAAACTAGAACTCAATATCGATATTGATTCCCCTTATGAAATTCATTCAACCAGAAGTTCCCCTAACGAAAAGACGGTCTATCGACTAGATTCGTTCAGTAATTTTCATTGTGAATACAATTTATTTACAATGTTGAAGATATATCATTTTATATTTACAGTAAAGAATGAAGTACTCTAAGGCTTCGTTATCATGCACACTGCTCTCTACCATAAGATATATCAATATATGCCTGTTACTTCAGTGTACTCATTAATAATATTCCGACGGTTTTTATCAGGAAACATTTGGCATTTCTAGTCAAATCAGTTTAGAGAATATTTTCTTTCTTTGCGGAATGTATAACTTATATATACGTTTGACTTCTCGGGTAAAAGAAAAAAAGTTTAAACTCCATACTTTGAAAAGAGATGTTTATTTAAAGGCAAACAAGCCATTGTGTCGTTGCGAGAGTTCGATTCCGTCATGTCTACCTGTGTGGCTCCAAGACTTGGCGAAAAACCATGCTTCTTTAGCTAAATACATTATACAGAGATTAATGGAATTTCTTACAATATTAATTAAGGATGTTTCTGTCAAGGAGTTAAGTCGCGAATCACCAGATCACTGTTTAGTGATACGACAAGCTTACGACACGCGACGGTAAAGATTATATCTACGATATGATGATATGCTCGCGATGTTATTTACAAATCTCAAGTCAAGTTTTTGCCAGGCACATTATTTACGATTTTGTGCAAAATCAAAGAAAAGCCCATGGATATTGTTTACAACGCACTTATTGTAAGGAATATGGCTTGCAAAGACGTGTTTCCAGTTGCAGCCAAGTCCCTGTCGACCACAATAAAGATGTTTATCACGACAGTAGCTATCCAACAGCACTCCCTCAGGGTCCAAATAACTGCAGGAGCTCTCATAGCATTCGCAGTTAGTCCCCCCATAGCGATGTCTGAACCCTACTTTCTGTGCTCTGCTCAGAGAGTTCCATCTGGAGACCCAATCACACGATGATACGAACATACGTCTCTCGTCAAGGTATCCACCCACCACGTAATGCGTCTTGGACGATAACTCTACAGTACAAATGTGTGGATCTGTGTAGACGTTAACCTTGTAGGGAGACTTGATTTCCCTATAAGAACCTGCTCCAACGATTTTTCCCTCGAGTCCATTTTGAGTTTGTCCCTTGAGGATTTCATCGACTTGAAAGACGTAGCGAAGGACTTTGCGCTCAGTAGCCCAGATTCTGAAGGTGCTCTTGGGTGTTTTGGGTTCGGGTAGAGACACAGGTGTTGGCCCTGATAGTAGCTTACCGCGGAACACTGTCAAGAATGATAACAACATACGACTGTTATTTTTCAACTAAAATCATCGAGTGCAATATACCTTAGGCAAGCGCGCTAAGGCATAACAGCGCGGCGAATTTGTTTTTAGAGTTCTGTACAAATTAAAGAGCCTTTCAGCTTGAGTCGTAATATTTTCCCATAGTGCTAGTCTTTGTTGCTAGTCTTTGTTTGAGTTAAATACAGATGAATGTATTTAGATCATGTATAATCTTCCTAGGTTCAAAAAAGACAATGTTTAAGGTAATAATACTTAGCCCGAAAAAAGGGGGGACCGCGGAGACGCCCCGATTATTGCTTATGTCCATTAAATTTCATTCCTCCTTCCCCCACCGTTGTAGTCTTTTCATACAAGTCTGCCATAATTTCAAATCTAAGACCCCTTTCACTCCTAAAATGTCAAATAGACTATGTTGAAAGATTTCGGAAGCACGTTCATGTATTTTCACCGAACAAAACTGACAAGGTAGATAATACTTCCGAACGGAATTCAATTCAAGTTGCCAAAAAAAAAAGATCAGGTCAAGTATATATCCTTCATTTAGTGACGGCAGTCCCGACCTTAGAGCGCCTTGGTGCGGAAAACCATGTTATCGACTAGGTTTATGGCTCACATAGGGATCATCGGGTATATCAGCATCGCTGATACATCAGCCACTCGGCAATGAGGCGCCGAGGGATGTATAAATTAGACGTGATTTGAAAAAAAAATTTTTTGTTCACGAGAGTTCGTCTCCGGGTACTCCGGTTTTGCTTCCTCGCCACGTGCCATATGTTTAACATTAGTGTTTAGCTATGGAGACTTGGCAATGACCCCGTGTATTACAACCTAAAAATATACGCCGTGAATGCATCAGAAAGGCGCAAAAAATTAGCTGACTTTTGCTTATAGTTATATTCCAGTACTAATGTTCATGTGACTACGTTGCCCACTTTTCATTAACAGCAACGATCGGTCGCTTTTGAGAGTTTTTTTTGATGATGCGCAAAATTTTATATTAGCGCGCAATCATTAGCGCACGTGATACGTTTTTCGGTTACCTCGGAATATCTTGGCGACCCATTTTAAGAAAGCATAACTAATAAATCAACTCACAATCCTTTAATCAAAGTATTCTACTTTACTGGCACCATTATGACTTAACATGTACAGTTACGAACCATCTTGGCTGCCGTTGCGCACCGACTAGACGTTGCGCGCGACATTGACCTCCATCGCGAAAATGATTACCTCATCTATAACTCTCAGAATACAACAGGATCTTAACTTGAAACAAGGGTCAGAAACAAGGGCGGATCCAGCCAAAATTTTAGGGGGGGCTAATTGAGTTTAGGGGGGGGGGGCTAATTGAG